TAGAAATATTTAATATCCTAACTTAAATTGAATCAAACAAGAAAAAATAGATCTGATCTAAATTGAACAGTATGATTTCAAATCGATTTTCGATTTTTGGATTTTTTTCACTTTTAATATTTTACAATATGCCCCCTCAAGTTGGCGCATAAAAGATTAGAGTGGATAACTTGAAAAAAGTTGAAAAAAATCGAGATCTAGCGAATATTTATAAGAATGATCATTGAAGAAAGAAAAGTTGTGAAAAATGAGCTTACATTTTGATTTAAAGTGAAATGAAGATGTTGAATCTTTGTAAGAGCGATCTTACAAAATAAATATATAAGCATCCCCTAAATTTAATGGTCGAAAAGCTGAATTAAAGTCAAGAACTAAAGCTCGCAATATAAAAAGATAAAATCTAATAATGGATATTGAGAAAGAAATGTTTGAAACATGATAGAGATGAAAAGGATGATGAGAGATAGAGGATTAAGAATTATAAGTGTAGAGGATGATGAGTTCGTTAGGCTTAGTGTTTAAGAATGGGTGTTAGCCATTAGATTAGAAAAAGAAAGAGTTATGAAAGAAGAAGTTATTTTGCTTGTTAGAGTTTATAACTTTGATACCATGTTAAGTTTTAAATAATAATGTTTGTGTGAATGTAAATGAGTAAGAGAAAAGACAAGAAGATAAGAACACAAAGACATAGAACACAAAGACATACGTGGTTCGCCATGGTGGCCTACATTTGTAGGAAAAATGCCTAAAGGGCTATATTATTAATATTTTGACTTATATGAAAAAGTACACGAAAACCCCTATTTATATAAGTAGTGTAGATAATGTTGAAAATATTTCAATATAGTGAAAGATTTTTAGTTAAGTATGATACTTAACCAAGAAAATGAGAAACCAAAGATTAATGTAGTTTGGAACAAGCTTTGGAAGCATGGAAGAGCTCATTTGCTTGAATTCTAAATAGGGCATTCAAATGCCCATACATTGACATTTGAATGCTAGCTTTCTGTTTGAGACTTCTAACTACGACATTTGAATTCCTAAACATTAGAATGCTGACTTTATGTTTGAGCAAAATACAAAAGGGCATTCAAATGCTTGGTTGAGAATTCAAATTCTTGGTTTAGCATTCAAATGTTTTATTTTAAACATCATGTTTAATTTGTTGAGTGCAAATTGTTTCTAATGGAGTGGAATATATTCATTCATAAAATTGATCTTTCACTATTAACAAGTGAATAATTATAATTATTCATAAAGATGTGTTCTTTATAAAAAACAAACATAATTGTTAATTGAAACAACATAACTAAAAGGTCACAACCTTTTTGTTTCATTCTTTATAAATAAAGCAGATGGATGACCACATTTGAAAAATGATGAAAAATACTTTGACAATATTCAGATTTATCTCATTCTCACTTTCAAAGTAGAAATAAGCCTCTTAGACTTTGTTTACTATAGAAAACCTAGCCTAAGACAAGTATTTCCATACCTCTTCAAAGATATTTAGTAGTTTGAACTTTATTAGTGTAAAATGAGTTCAAACAAGGCTTCATTGTATCTTATAAACTATTTGAATAACTCCCATTGCATCTTAAGAACTGGTAAAGGCAAATAAGTATAAAAGAAAGTGTTTTCATAACATGTCGTGAAACCATTTTCGTTAAAACTTTCAATTCTCCATTTTGGTGCAAACGATCAACCATTAGTGCAAGGGGTCTTCATCAACAATTAGTAGATTTGAAACCAACAAATAATATATGAAAAATAATAATGAAAGTGATATTAGACGTTACAACTAATTTTAATAATTAATTATAATTATACTTTCTAAATCAATAATTGACGACTTGTTTATTACCAAAATCATCTCATAACTATCCTTAAAGAAATCTTGGGAAAGTCAATATTTGCTTAGATTGTAAGATTAAGATATGTTTCATTAAAGTATATTTCTCAAAATTTATGAATTAATCAATTATTAAATAAATGTAGAGTTATAACAACAAATATATGATGTTTCATTGTGTGTGGTTATCATAAAGAAAGTATAAGTTAAATGTAAAATAGATAAAATATATTGTTTATTGTTAAATAAAATATGTGAACAATATTATAAGAAATCAACTAGTAAATACTTCAATATCTTGATAACTTGCAAACTTTTTATAGCCTTCTTATTTTGTAGTTAGAGTTGAACAATATGGACCTTTAAACACAAATGAAATGACTTTAAGGTATCGCAAATGCCATTTTCTTAAGGCTTATTTTGCCCTAGTTAGTTATAATATGCAAAAAAGGTGAACCAAAATGTCTCCAAAAAACAATGAAGCCTTGTTTATTATTTTACACTAGTAAAACAAATAACTAAATACTCTTTGGTAAGAATGGAAATAACTTATCTTCAACAAGGTTTTCTATAACAAACAATGTACAAAAACTTACCTTTAATTGAGAAAGGATTGGGAGAAAGAAGAGAGTTATTTTTGAATCGAATTATGTTTTTCAATTGAATTGTGTTTTTATAAATGAACTCACATAAATTTCTATTTAAAGAGATTAAATTCTAAGGTTGCAACTTTTTGACTGTGTTGTTTCGATCAAAGACCACTTCTTTTTTATTAAAAATATTTTTTTGAAAGATTACAAACATATTTGTTTATTTGAATAATCAAACTTTTTATACAAAGAGAAATCATTTTTTACATTTTTGAAAATTATAACTTTTTACGTAAAGCAATCGAATCCACCTTAAAGGCAGTCGATTGCCTTTTTATGCTTCCAATTTTCAAAATGCTTTCTAAAGTATGGTAGTTACTCCTCTTTAGAGCAATCGACTCCTTTAATCTTATAGAATACATTCAACTTATGAACAATTGAATACTTTATATAATAGTCATTTCTAGAATAGTTCTACATTCAACATTTTATAGGACAATTGACTCTTATTTGTTACTAGCCAACTATTATAATCTCAGACTATTTTCCAAATGACAAATCAAATAATAATAGTCGATTCCCTTAGGGTTTGAAATCTATTCCATTCATACCTAACCATAGCGGTTGATTGTTCTAGGCTAGCAATCGAATATTATTTTATACAAAATCTAAGTTCAATTTCTATTTGTAAAAGTAGTTGACTCCATGTACTTGGCAATCGACTGCTTTACCTAAAGGTTAAGACAATCAACTCCTCTGAGTATGGTAGTTGATTGCTTGCATGTATAGCTTTCTCAATATGATTCTTATAAATCTTAAATCATGTTATTAATCTTAGGAACCAAGCCTTAAATTATTTATTAACTTAACATGATTTCTATTTGATTAAGTTATTACTTAATCTTATTTTCATATTATAGAAATATTTTCTAACATTATACATATTAGAAAATAACAAGAAAATTGAATTGATATTTAATTTTTTATGCATAAAAGAATAATGGACGAAAATGTGACTTTTACTAGTGTATTATAGGTCAATGTTGAATTGGTCAAATTATGGAATTAATTCCTATTTTTAGGTGAAAATTAGAATTTAGAGTTTGGACAATAATTTGAATAAATTTAGTCTTAGTACTTATTGAGATGCAAAATATCGATACTTTATAATATTTAAGAGAAAAAATAGAAAAAATCTATAAAAAAAAAAAGAGAAAAAAGGAAAAACTTCTATTGAAATGATGTATTTTACATCTTGAGAAATATATAGACTAAATTTCTTCAAATTATTATACGGAGACTAAATTTTTATTTTCACTTGAATATATTGATTGATTTTTTAATTTGACACATTGAATTTTGTCATTATACTTCAATTTCATTGATTTTGTTATTGATACTTTCAATTTTGTTAAGTTTTAGACATAAAATAATAAAATAATAAAATTATTATTTTCATCGACAAAGTAATTTTTTAAATATTATAATATTATTTCTTTTGTCTGAAAATCAATAAAATTGAAAGTATAGTAGTAAAATTTATCATTTGCATTCATAAAATAGTTTGCAAAATATTATGATTTTGTTCCTTTTTGTTAAGGATGTTCATTTGGTCAGTTTGGTTAATTTTGAATTGAATTATCTAAAATTAAATTAATCTAATTATATTATATTATTTTTTAATTTCAAAAATTGATTGATCAAAATTAATTCGATCGGTTCGATTAATTTTTTCGATTAGTCAAATAATAAAATACATTAAGTTAAATAAAAAATTGATTGATCAAAATTAATTCGATCGGTTCGATTAATTTTTTCGACTAGCCAAATAATAAAATACATTAAGTTAAATTATGTTTTAAATTCTTATTTTCTCATATGTGAAATAAATTAAATAAAATTATCTAACAAAAAATTCAAATATCAAAATATTAAGTTAAAAACTCTAATAACTTAAAATGCATTGAACAAATTCATGTGTTTTTAGTTTTATATATAGATTTTATAATATTTAGATTAAACTTTTGGTTAATTAAGTTGATTTGTTTTTTAACCGAATTAACCGAAAACAAAATTTCTTTAAAATTATTTTTGATAATTGACCGAAATTAATTCCGTAACCGACTGATTAATCGAATTAAATTGGTTCAATTTCTTAATTTAGTTAAAATCAAATTATGTATATCTTTATATTTTGTTTAAAAATAAATGGAATTGAAAATATAATATCAAAATTCAATAAAATTTAAAATATAGTATCAATTTTTTTGAAATGTACAGTATCGAAATTTAATAAAATGAACAAAATTCAATATTAAAATATAGTGTAATAAAAAAAATTCACCAATATTCCAAAAAAAAATTTCAATCAAAGAATCCAAACATAAATAAAAAAAATAAAATAATGAACTTTGCTAGTGGGTGACATTAGAATAGATGCAAATCCAGTAGGGTCAGTCCAATGCATTTTTTTATATATAAATTTTCACCAAACGGTAGACACAATCAAGTGAAAGCGGTCAGCAAGTTAGGAAACTAAACTAAATGAATAAAGAAGGAAAGACAAAACAAAATTGTCGTCAAAATGCTAATATAACAGCTAGCACCAAATTATTATGACCCTTTGTGCATACTTCTCATATCACCTGTATAACAAAAAAAAAAAAATTTCCAATTTCCGGTGCGAATAAATTTCTGGACCGACCCCTCTGTTTCTACGCATCAATCGGGGAAGAAATAGAAATAGAATAGAAAACAACAGAAGAGAAAGAGAAAGAGGAGGAAAAATAGGAATAGGAATCGGAAGCGGTAGCGGAGGCGGGCAATGCTGGAATTGATTGGCTGAGATAGAGAGTATATGGGGGGAAGTGGCACTCTCGTGGACGGTGTTCGTCGCTGGTTTCAACGTCGCCCTTTTATTACTTCTTCTTCTTCTAATAATAATAATAATAATCAAAATAATAATGTTATCGTCGATCACCACGATCGTTCAACTTCTACTTTAACTCTTACTCAAAAACAACAACAAGGAGAAGAAGAACTCATTGTTCAGGATTTCGACTTTTCTTCCCTGAGGCTCGTCAAAGTTCCCAAGCGTAATTACCCTCTTATTGCTTCCATGGATTCTCACAAAAAGGTATTTTCTTTTTTCTCCCAGATCTGATTTCATTCTCTTCTTTTTTACAATTTAAAATGCAAATTTTTTCATTTACACACTGAAAATAGGGGAGATATTGTCATTAAAGCAACAAAATTATGGCTTTGCATTTTTTTAATGGATCATGTCGGAGCTCTTTAAAACTGACCAAATTTGCCTGCTTAAAAGCTTTTTTTTTTTTTGGTTCTTATAAAACGTTAGTTTCATTAATTTTCATAATAAAAACAGTTCAATTACTTTTTTAATGATAATTAATTAAGACTAGGATTATAATAGTGTAAGTCTTACACTCTTTTTCACTATTGCATCAAAATTAAATTCATGAGTAATTTAAATCAAATTAATATATTTAATCTTAGCCATTTTATTGTTAGCCATGTAAGATGTCCTTATTAATTAACAGATAGGTTAACAGAACTTGTGATTGATGACATTTAATTTGAATTATATCCGATGAATAATTTTTGCTGTTCATTTTGTTATATATATGTTTTTAACTGCATTAGGATGGCCAATATTTTAGAGGCTTGGAGTCGAATTTTAGAAAATTATCCTGCTAGCTAATTTAATATTATAAGGTTGCAAATTATGTTTTGCTTTTTTTAATAATTGGAGGATTTTATTCTTATTTTTTAAAATCAAATTCCCTCCTGTAGAATTAGCGGATATTACTTTTTCAATCCTTTATCATTTTCAGTCATCTTGTTTTGTACAACTCATGGAAAAGTATTGTATATTGCCATTAGTATCCTTTAGTATCTCTTATTTTCTTCTTTCATACTCAACCTATTATTTCAAAGATACCATATTGCCCATAGTATCTTCAGCAGCGTTGTTCTATTATTGCATAATTTGGAAACCAAATACATTGCTGTGTCTAGGTTGTCAATCTGCTTCTCGTAGCTGAATTTTATGTCAACATGGAAAAGGGTCCATGGCCCTTTTAATATACATCTTTAAATTTATTTATAGCAGCTGCTGAGAGGTATGAAGAGAACCCTGTTCCTGTCATTTTGGAAGGCTCATAGGAATTGTTATTCAGAGGCTGCATCCATGATCCTGAAGTTTCTTATGACTGTTTTTATGAAGAAATTTTCCTTTAATCAGCTAGCTTGCACTTTTAAACCTCATTTATTTGGGTTTTATTGTAGCGCCAGTCATATAATAAAATAAAGGAGTCAATAATCTATCTTTTCCATACATGCATATTCTGTCGCGCTCCATTTTTGTTCCTTGTCTCTGATAGGACTTTTGATATTTCTGAACAATGGTGCTTTACAGGGTGCTCTTGAAACAGAATTTTTCACTGAGTATGGAGAGGCAAGCCGATATCAAATTCAGGAGGTGATAGGAAAAGGAAGTTATGGGGTTGTTGCTTCTGCAATTGACACCCACACTGGTGAAAAGGTTGCAATAAAAAAGATTAATGATGTTTTTGAGCATGTCTCTGATGCAACACGGATTTTGAGAGAAATCAAGCTATTGCGGTTGCTCCGACATCCAGATATTGTAGAAATAAAGCATATTATGCTCCCTCCATCACGACGAGAATTTAGAGATATTTATGTAGTTTTTGAGTTGATGGAATCTGATCTTCACCAAGTAATTAAGGCCAATGATGACTTAACTCCTGAGCATTATCAGTTTTTTTTATACCAGCTTCTTCGCAGTCTGAAGTTTATACATACAGGTCAGTGCTTTTCTATATGCTTCCCTACATCCACTTCTTGGTTTTATTATTGATTTTTTTTTTTTTATAAATTTCTGCAGCAAATGTGTTCCATAGAGATTTAAAACCAAAGAACATCCTTGCTAATGCTGATTGTAAGTTGAAGATATGCGATTTTGGGCTTGCACGAGTATCGTTTAATGATGCCCCATCAGCGATTTTTTGGACTGTATGTTATTCTGTCATGAAATCTTGAAGCTTCTGCATTCATCTTTCTGTAGTATTTCTCCAAATGCTTAATTTTTACTTTTATTTTGTTTTCTACGTTACAGAGGGTAAGCCTCTAACAACCTTAGGCTAATTAAACTTGTTTAATCCATTAAGGACTATGTAGCGACTCGTTGGTATCGTGCTCCTGAACTCTGTGGATCTTTTTTCTCCAAAGTAAGTTCTTATGATCTTCTTGTATTAGGCTTTTCATTTTTATATTCTTGTTTCCAATTGCTGAAATGGCTCAAAGAGTAGAAAGAGATATGTTTACATTTTGATTACCTTGTCATTAAATATGGATTTTTTTTGCTTTGATTTCTTGAAATATTTTCATTCCCCTGGTTTTCCCCCTTCTAATTTCTGTGGAACAGTTATTGTTGATATTTATCCTGAGTAAAACTTGCTTGAAACTGTTGCTCATGAGTTTGATTGTTTGAAAACAGTAAAAACCATATTAGGGCATTTCCTTCTACTTTTTGATGGATAGTGAATTTCCTTTAACATCCTTTGTGCATTTACATAATTATTCATTGTGTAATTTGATGTTATCAGCAGCATGTTTGAGTAAAGTTCTTGGAAATTAGTTTAATTCTAAGTTTTTGTCTTTGATGGCATTAATGGCAGATTGTTTCGCTTTTCCTCAGTGAATAGTTTTTCTTACTTATGTAGAACTTCAGTTTGCTGCATTATGTTTAGTTTAGCTGTCAAAAGGTTGACATTCATGTAAATTCTTGTTTATTGTTTCTTTTCTACTACATCAACTTCCATGGAGAATTCTTGAAGCTGAATCTTGCAGTGTTAAGAATGTGTACTGTTGCTATTGCAATTTGGTTTTAAAATGTTGACATGTCACCTGAAAGTTGTTAAAGTTCCTTTTTAATGATTAATTATGGTAACTGCCTTTCTAAGCACTTATTTTGCAGATTGGAATTTTTTTATTAGGAACCTTGATCTAATGTGACCTTAGAAAGGCTATGTAATCGATAGGTTTATTCTCTGTATCCTCAAATCTTTGCTAAATAAGAAATGCAATTGAGCATATTATCACCTAGCCTAGGAGGTAAAGACACAGAATTGTAGTGCTCTTTCTTCCAGTTCCACCTGTTTTCGTGGATCTGGTTTTATGTCATGCTATGTTCTCATGAATATTTAGCGACTTTTGATGTTATTGGTGCACCTATCAATTGTCTCCATCAGCCCTTTTTTTTTTTGTTGTGAGTCAGTGTTGGTGGGGATGGGGTGATCAATTGTTAATATTATATCTTTTGGAACATGAGAAATGCAGTATCTGAAGTTTCATTTGCCTTTTGATGTATAAATATTTGTATTAAATATGTTTTGTTAGGCTATAATTGTAATTTCTGAGTCTTTCGTCCTTTTGTAGTACACTCCTGCAATTGATATATGGAGCATAGGATGCATATTTGCTGAGATGCTTACAGGAAAACCATTATTTCCTGGAAAAAATGTGGTGCACCAATTGGATCTCATGACTGATACACTTGGCACACCTCCTGTTGAATCCATATCAAGGGTTAGTATCTTATTTTCTTGTATTCAACTGTGATTTGCATTTGCTTCATCCTGACACTCTTTTCAAGCTTTATTATAGCCTTTCAGGTTCTAATGGAGATTAACTACTGACTGACTCATCAATGCTTAATTTATCATAACCTGGCAGATTCGAAATGAAAAGGCAAGGAGGTACCTTAGTGGCATGCGTAAAAAGATACCAGTTCCTTTCTCACAAAAGTTCCCTAATGTGGATCCCCTGGCTCTTCGCCTACTTGAGCATTTACTTGCATTTGATCCAAAAGATCGTCCCACAGCTGAAGAAGTAAGCAATCTGCGTGATTTAAAAGAAAAAATTTCAAAAGCACTAAAAGGGAAAGGAAGTATGCATACAAGAGATAGCCCTGAAATTGACCAAAACAAAAGTAATTCCGTGCTAACATTTTATATATTCAGAAAACATAAAAGGATATAAATCCTACAAAACTGAAATCTATGAAGGGATGGTCTTGAATGCAACTTCTTTGATTTGAAGTCCTTTCTGCTTCAATTCATTAAAGATATGATAATTCCTCTCACCATTGACATCAAATCAAGTATAAATGATAAATGAGCAACTTAGATCCTAACTTACAAGCTTCTGATATCCCTAATGGTTATGCAATATGCTTGCAGGCATTAGCTGATCCATATTTTTATGGTTTGGCAAATGTGGATCGTGAACCATCCACTCAACCTATTTCAAAACTAGAATTTGAGTTTGAGAGAAGGAAACTGGCAAAAGATGATGTTAGAGAGCTGATTTATCGAGAGGTACTCCACATTTGTTGCTTTGGTATTATCTGGCTTTTTTTTTTTTTTTTTTTTTCTAATATCATATGGCCTAAACAACTCCTGGCTTGGAGTGAACAGATATTAGAGTATCATCCGCAGATGCTGCAGGAGTATCTTCGTGGTGGGGATCAGACCAACTTCATGTACCCAAGGTTAGAGAACACTTATTATTCTAAGTTAGATTAGCTTTACACATGAATGGGAACTATGATTGTCATCTCTTTATAATATGCGCATGACAATATGGAATTCAGGTTTAAAAATCTTTTTCATAGTTTCTTAAATAATTGTATGTTCTTTCTTTTTTCCGTTGTCTTGGAAAAGGTCAGCTATTTTAAACCAATGTGATTTTTTTTCTTACGATCTGTAAGCATGTGAACATATTTTGTTTTGGTTTAGTTTCCTCATTAACTTTACATGTGAAGGAATTTTATAGTGATACAGGTATTAAAGACAATACATTTATGAAGGAATTTTATAGTGTGTGGAAACTGAATGTATATTGAAAAACTGCTTATCTCCAATTATACAAGAATCTTAGGTTTATATACAACTAACTAGGGGTTAAACTAGGAAACTAAATCTTCCTTAATTCTAGGGATACAAATACTTAATTCTAAAGATACAAATATAAATATACAGATTACAAGATTACAACCAGCTGTAAATAAGTGTTTTCCCACACTCCCCCTCAAGTTGGTGAATAGGTGTTTTCCATTCCCAGCTTGGAAATAATTTCTTGAAATGTTGCACTGCTGAGACCTTTAGTCAACACATCTGCAAGTTGACCCTTGGTTGATACATAAGGTGTACAAATCAACCCACTGTCTAGTTTCTCCTTTATGAAATGCCGGTCTACTTCAATGTGTTTTGTTCTGTCATGTTGCACAAGATTGTGTGCAATGCTTATTGCAGACTTGTTATCACAGTAGAGTCTCATTGGTCCATCCCACTTGATCTTCAAGTCTTCTCGGATAATCTTTAACCATAGTAGTTCACAAATTCCTTGAGCCATTGCTCTGAACTCTGCTTCAGCACTTGATCTTGCCACCACATTTTGTTTTTTACTCCTCCAAGTCACAAGATTACCACCTAAGAAAGTGCAGTAGCCTGAGGTAGATCTTCTATCAGTTACTGAACCTGCATAATCAGCATCTGTATATGCTTCTAGAACTAACCCCGAATCTCTTTTGAATAAGATACCTCTCCCAGGATTGGCCTTCAAATAGTGCAATATACGGTAGACAGCCTGTAGGTGCACTTCTTTAGGACTATGCATAAATTGACTTACCACACTCACAGCATATGCTAATCAGGTCTAGTATGTGAGAGATAAATGAGTCTTCCAACTAATCTTTGGTACATCTCTCTATTTACAGTAGCATCTTCATTAGCTTCTCCAATTTTATGATTAGGATCTATAGGGGTATTTGCAGGTTTACATGCAAGCTTCCTAGTTTCCTTCAGAAGATCCATCACATATTTCTGTTGTGAGATAAAAATACCATGCCGTGAGTGAGCTACTTCAATTCCTAGGAAGTACTTCAATCTCCCTAGCTCTTTTATCTCAAATTCTCTAGCCAAACACTGTTTTAGAGATTCTCTCTCTTTTTCATCATCTCCAGTTACAATTATATCATCAACATACACTAATAGAACTGTGACTCTCCCTGAATTAGAGTGCTTGATAAACAATGTGTGATCTCCTTGACTCTGTTTATATCCCATTGCTAGCATCACTTTGGCAAATCTCTCGAACCAAGCTCTAGGAGACTGTTTAAGGCCATATAAAGCCTTTTTTAACCTGCATATTTTGTTTGCTTCTAGATGACCTTCAAATCCCGGTGGAACCTTCATATATATTTCTTCTTCCAAATCACCATGTAAAAAAGCATTCTTTACATCAAATTGTTGAAGCTGCCAATTGTAATTTGCAGTTAATGATAACAAAATCCTAACTGTATTCATCTTGGCAACTGGAGCAAAGGTTTCCTGGTAATCCACTCCATAGGTCTGAGTGTAGCCCTTAGCCACTAACCTGGCTTTATACCTTTCAACAGTACCATCTGCCTTGTATTTTACAGTGAAAACCCATTTACACCCTACTGGATTTTTTCCTTTAGGCAACTCTACCAGTTCCCATGTTTGATTTTTCTCTAAGGCCTCGATTTCTATTTTCATGGCTTGCCTCCATTTCTCACTGGATAATGCCTTAGATAATGTAGTTGGAACATAAATAGTGTTTAGGCTCACAAGAAAATTTTTGTGGTATGGTGAGAATTTTTCAAATGACACAAAATTAGATATTGGGTATAGTGGATGCTTGGTACATTCTCTGGTTCCTTTCCTAATGGCAATAGGCAAATCATAATCACTAGTTATAGTTTTAGGAGATTCATGCTCATTTTGAGAAACAGAGTCAAAAACTGTAGTTACCTCATTTCCATAGTTAGGATCAGGTTCTTGGACTGGCACTGGTTCAGGATCTGGAACTTTCCTTCTTGAGTACACCTGTAATTCCTTCATAGAATCAAGAACAATATTATCCTTTGTCACATCTTTCGTATTTGGAATGGGTTCAGACTCAAATTCAATGTTTGACTTGGGTTCAGCAGAAACAGGTTTCGACTCATAAGAATTAATGGGTGTAAATATTGAAGAAGGGGAAAATCAAGCAAAAAGAAGTCTTTATCCTTATCTTCCATGAATGAAGTCTCCCCTTGAAGATAAGGTTGAGTAAAAAATGGTTTATTTTCTTCAAAAGTGACATCTGCAGACACATAAAATTTTTTGGTAAGAGGATGATAGCACTTATATCCTTTTTGAGTTGAAGAATACCCCACAAAAATACACTTAATCGCTCTTGGATCCAACTTTCCCCTGTTATGACTGTGAACATGAACAAATGATGTACAACCAAATATCCTAGGTGTGAGATTGTTTGTGGTATTGAGGTTGGGATAAAATTGTGAGAGTAGTTCCATAGGAGTTTTAAATCCCAAAACTCTTGAAGGTAACCTATTTATAATGTGTGTGGCAGTGAGAACAGCTTCCCCCCAATAAGATTTAGGAACATTTGCTTGAAAAAGAAAGGCTCTGGTTGTGGCTAATAAATGACTGTTTTTTCTCTCTGCCACTCCATTCTGCTGTGGAGTATTAACACAAGATGACTCATGGATAATCCCCTCTTTTTGGAAATAGGTGGATAGACTCTGGTTGAAGTAGTCTTTTGCATTATCAGACCTAAATCTCTTGATTCTTACTCCAAATTGATTTTGGATCATGTTTTGGAAGCTTAAAAACACACTATTCACATCTGATTTGGATTTAAGTAAAAAAACCCAAGAGACCCTAGTACAATCATCTATGAATAAAACAAACCATCTCGCACCAGAAATATTAAGAATTGTAAAGGAACCCCAAATGTCACTATGAATCAAGTAAAAAGGAGTAGAACTTCTTTTGTTACTGATTGGAAAAGACACATGTCTGTGTTTTGCAAATTCGCAAATATCACAATGAAAATCTTCAACATTTAATTCTTTGAACAAAGAAGGAAACATGTTTCTCAAGGTTCCAAAAGAAGGATGTCCAAGACGAAAATGATAAAGTCAGATTTTATCTTTATTGGAAGATTTTTCAGAAAGAAATGACAAAGGTAAACTATTTTTGATACTACTTGTGTTATTTGATGTTTCAAGATAGTATAGTCCATCCTTCTCCTTAGCAAGTCCAATCATCTTCCTCAAACTCTGGTCCTGAAATTCACAATAAGAGGGATAAAAAGTTACTTTGCAATTCATATCTCTGGTAAGTTTTTGTATAGATATCAGATTAGTAGACAATCCAGGAACATGAAGAACATTTTTTAGAACAAACGAGGGATTAACTTGAACATCTCCTAATCCTGCCACTGTGGTAAGTGAACCATCAGCAACAATTTTCTTATTACTAGGACACAGGTTATATGTACTAAACTTTTGTAGGGAATGTGTCATGTGGTCTGTGGCTCCTGAGTCAATGACCCAAGAACTCGTAATAGGCTTAGCTGAGACATTTAATCCATGAGAACCGGAAGCTTTACCTGAACTAGAAACTTTACCCAAAGAACATACCATAGTCGGCTTTTCAAGGATTTTCAATAAGTTTCTCAGCTTTTCAATCTCTTCCCTGTTGAACTCTCCTTGTTTCTGAGACATCTGTAGTACTCCAGTGATTTTTCCAGTTAACATTTCCTCAAATTGGGTGATAGTGATATCTTTCTTTGAAAGGGTTCGGCAATGAAGGCCTAAAAAAGTCAGCAATGAAGGCTGAAAATTTTTCTTCCCAAGAAGAGCCTAAAGCTCTGATATCATGTGGAAACTGAATGTATGTTGAAAAACTGCTTATCTCCAATTATACAAGAATCTTAGGTTTATATACAACTAACTAGGGGTTAAACTAGGAAACTAAATCTTCTTTAATTCTAGGGATACAAATATTTAATTCTAGAGATACAAATATAAATATACAGATTACAAGATTACAACCAGCTGTAAATAAGTGTTTTCCCACATAGTGATACAAGAATATCTAAGAAAAAAATTAGTATTACCCTATAGTTTGAAAACCTAACTAGTGTACGAAATGGTGGAGGGACAGTTTTTGGTTTAATCGGTTCAACAGCCAGTTCTAAGATTGTAAAATAATCTTTTTTAAAATGTTAAAAAAAAAGAATCAATAGAAAATATGAAAATTAATAAAAAAAATAAATAGAAAGTAGTTCAACTTTAATCTGGTTCAATGGTTCACCCTTTTTCTTTTTTCTGATTTTACTAGTTTTTGAGCAGTTTTATCTACACCCAATTCAATATACATATCTGGACCGGAAAGGCCATCAGTTCCCTGTCCAATCCGTTCAACTTGCCAGTCCAATCTTGTTGTGAAAAAACTGGTGTTATCCATATATGATGTATATGTCAGTATTTTCTTTTCCTAAAAGTATGTCAAGTTTGTTTTGCGGAAATGTGATGTTGCTTCCTGAAATCATATTAAGTTTGATGAGAGCTTCAACTCAGTGCCTTACATGGTCTTCATTTTAGTTGTTTGTTGGGTTTTGTGTCCCTTCTTAAATGGGAGAAGTTTTAAATCAATATGATTTTGACAGTTTTGGATTTCTTATTAAAGTTGTGATAAATTAAATCCAAACCCAAATGCATTTGCGCACTCGTGTGTGATCTGACCAAACGATCACCAAAAACAATATTCACACCAATGAGTATTCTTCCTTAGTCTCATGAGGTGTCTACATTCTCAACCTTGTAAACCTTACAACACTTTTGAACTCTTTTTTAGCTTTTGTTGCTCAATATGATGTCCAAGATTGTTCTTGTACAATTTAGATACATTTTAGCAAAGTAAGACCTTTTGAGTGGGCTTCGTGGATCAAATTCCTGGTCATGTAGCACTAAAGTGAAATATAAGGAGAAAGGAAAAAATAAGATCCAGAAATTCTGGTTGAAAACATTTGCTGCTAGCATCACAACCAACATTTTCCTTTCTTTGTCAATTCAATTCAATAGTGGTGTTGATCGATTCAAGCGACAATTTGCACATTTGGAGGAACATTATGGTAAAGGTGAAAGAAGTACTCCACTTCAAAGACAGCATGCTTCTTTGCCTAGGTATGCTTCGTAAAATTTTGGAAATCATATTAGTTTTGTGCCTTTTCTTTCTTTCTCTCTCTTTTTTTTTTTTTTTCAAAATCATAAAACCAGGGGAGCTGCTGTCATACTTTAGATGGAAAAACGCACATTTAGTTTGTCTAGTTCATGTGTCGTATTTCAATTTGCCTGATTAACCGTTCTATCTTCTTTTCAGAGAGCGAGTTCCTGCATCCAAGGATGAGAAAGTTCCTCAAGATAATGATTTGGAGAGTACTGCAGCTTCAAGGTCTCGGCTCTCTGATGGTTCAGAAAACACAAATGTAGAAGGACAAAATGGCCCTAACAAACCAAACTATAGTGCTCGTAGCCTATTGAAGAGTGCTAGCATTAGTGCCTCCAAGTGTGTTGTTGTGAAAGAAAAACAAGACTCAGCGGTAGACATTCTCTCTTTACTGAAACCTTCTCTGTCAAATTAACATCAACTTAGTATGAACAGAACATAATCTGAAATGGAAACAAACTAAAAACCATTATCTAAAAGATTCAACTGTTTGTCTTGCAACTGACAAAACCTTCTTGCTGCGGAACCAAATGAATGTTATGTATCTATCTTATTTACACCATATTTATTTTTCCTGCTGCAGGAGAAACCAATTGCTGAAGCCACCGACGAGACAGTTGATGCCCTGTCTCATAAGGTTGCAGGCCTTAATGCTTGATTGAAACTTCCAATTGGCTCTTTAAGGATTTAGTAGGCTTGGTGCATTACCCATTTTTTTCCCCCTGATTATTGGTAAGAGGGTGATTTATGGTGATTTGCGCCAAAGGTTTTCCTTTTTTTTTTTTTTTTTTTTCTTTGGACAGAAGCTAATAGTTGGACTATGATAGCGGCTATCGTTGTGTTAACGCAGTCCAGAGAAGGCTTGGCCTGTCATGTAGCTCTATTTACATTTGACGAAGCAGAAGGTGTATTTGTTCTGTTATGAACTTTAGAATACCCTGCTAGGCAGTAAGAAACTTGATTTAAAAGAAGAAAACACTATATACTATTTCCATTTCAAATGACTGTCCTGCAATATTGCAACTTCTAGTGAAAATGGTCGTATTCATACTCAGCTATCCTTGTGCTATACATAGGAGTGGGTTTTGTGAAAAAAAGTTGTGATGGCCAGTGTTTCTACGTTGATTCATGGACAATCTGTTTTATTTTCAAAGTGTTTTATTGTTCAAAATGTTGAGAATATGTACTCAAATTTCAAAAGATTTGATGAAAGATTTTTTTTTTGAAATATTTTGTGGATTTTCTAAAATATTGTTTGGTGATAAGTTTATTTGGTGGACAAGTCAAGACCAAATTTATAGCAGGTGGTGACTTTTAAAATTGCGAGAGATCTAAGCCATACGTGATTTTTACGTGGAAGACGAGTTTTCAGGGGTACCATGATGAATTATAGAAAACATTAGGTTATATGGGATAAAAGATATTTTATATAGTAACATTTGATAATTTTTGTAAAATCATTTTACTAATATAATCATCAACATTACATAAAATCATCATGGTAATATAATCATTGAAATTATTTTATTATTAAGGTGATTTTGTCATTCGTGATTTGAAATCATTTTATTTGATTAATAATTATTAATTTTTAAAAATTGAAAATCATTATATTTGGTATTCTTAAAAAACAAATATTATTTTGTTTAAAAGCATAAAAATAAATATGTATATTGTAATAGTTACATTAGTTAATAATTTTAATTTTGTTTAAAGATAATAATTTATAAAATATCAGTAATAATTTATTTATTTTGTAATAAATATAATTAACTTAATAAATATAATTAATAGCAGGATTAATTTTATAAAATAAATTATATAAAAATATTTGAATTAGAAAATAAAATTAATTTATTAAATTCATAATGAAATAAAAATAAAAATATTATATTATATATAAAATATTAAAAAATAAAAAAATAATTTATTTTTGAACTTGTTACATTTAATGTTAATTTGAAAATAAAAAAATTTATAATATAAAATAATTACAATTTTAAAAGTAAGCAAGTTTTTAATTTATATATTAAATGACTATTTACTTATTAAATAAGTAATATTGACTATTGTTAATTTTACATATCATTTCATCTCAGAGATAAAAGTTTTTCATATTTTTGTCTGAGAATTTGATCACTTTTTAAGAAAATGATTTGATTACTCTCGGTGATTCAAGATCACCATCACATAAGATTACTTAGTGCTTATTAAATATAGTAATCTAATCATTATATGTAGATTGTCATGATTTTGAAATGATCACCTTATACCAAACACTACCTATACCAAACACTACTTATGTGTAAAAGGTATAGAGCTTGATAACTAAGATTGTTTAGGGGGTTTAGGATTAGTATATATTCATTTGTTGTTTTATACTCTTTGTAATATATGAATTTTTTCTTCATGTATATAGGTAATTAAAGCCAATTGAGATTCAATCACGTTAAATATTATCTTTTATATGTTATTTATTTGGTATTAATCTACTTGTGAATATATTTATACTTGCAAATCCCAACACAAGGTAGAAAGATTCATCTATGACGACATAACTTAAATGAAGTTTGTTAAGTGAAGTTTATAAAGTTCTTAACTAAAAGTTACTCATTAAAAACTTTAATAAAACATTTAAATCAATAGATTGATAAAGTTAAATGAAAAATATATATATATATGAAAAATATGAAAAATATTGTTTATAATACAAATTTAATCAGTACTTATTAAGTGATAAAAAATATGTTAAAAATTTTATTAAAATTTTTTATCTAAAAAATATATCAAAATATATTAAATTTTATTTATATATTTAATCTATATAATAAAATTTTCAATATATTAATTTTGATTTTTTAATTTTAATTTTATTCAAAATTTTTAATAAAATTTTTTTATAAATTTCACATAAAAAATTTCCTCTATGGTTTTTCTTCTCATCGAAGATTGAGGCTTGCTCACCTTTATTTGAATCATGGTCATGGTTTGGGTTGAATGTGGAAGACAAACTGTGAGGGTTATGATGCACATCATGATAATGTTATGATTGGTATTATCTGTATGTTTCCAATTTAAGAAGGCTTTCGTCGGCTTGCAAATTTTCAATTAAGTCACCTTATTTAATTACCGGTATATGCATTAAAATGGTTGCAAGCATATATAAATATAAATATAAATATATATTTCTTTTAATGAAAAACAGAGTGATTTTCTCAAGTTATAATTTCTTGTAATTAAGACAAATACTCTACTCTATAAAAAATATTTTTTTTTGAAAGGAATTCCATACGCTAGGACAAAAAGTATGTATGCGTTTATCTTGGACTACCTTCTATAATTTTTTTAATTTACTTGTTTTATTTATTTATTTATTTATTTATTTTCGATTTGAAAAAGAAGATTTAACTCTAACTAATTCAACAAGAGATCCACCATCTATTATCAAGTCACAAGTCCCAGTAAAAATTTAAAAATTTTTAATTATAAATACCTAATTTTATCTGGATCGATTCGAGTTTTTTAATTTTTGTATTTGATCTTACATTTTGATTTAGACTAATTTAAACATTTTAATTGGATTTATCTTATTGAACTTGTTTCGAATTTTTCATTTTTTTGACCATTTTGTATGACTGAAGCCTAATTCAATTCAAGCTTAGGTTACTTGGGCTTAAAAGTCCAATAGAAATCTAAGTCAATTTAAAGACCCAAAGTCTAATTGTGAGCCCAAATTCATTTTAAAGCCTAATTTCATTTTTATTAAAATTAATTAAAAAATTAAAAAATAAAAGAAAATAAAAGAGAAAGTAACAAAAAAAAAAGGTTGTCAGCCTTGTTCTCCTCTATTGTCAACTTTATCCATTTCGTTCATCTTCAATTTTCCCTTTCATTTTACCGCTATTGACTATTCATATAATTAGATAAAATAAAAGACATAAGTGCAATAAATAGTACCCCCCTAATTCATCACTTTATCTCTTCCCCAAATACAGCAATATGCAGCCTGAACAATGACAACACTCATTGCTACAACAAGAGTCCAAAATTTCATTTCCCATGCTTAAAATTTTTTATCTTATCTGGGATTGAATTTAAGAAGAAGATGGATATAGAAGCTTAAAAAAAAAATTTAACTACCAAAACTACCACCCTTCATAGGCCAGCCCCTTATCGATTTTACCAGCCAATCCCACTATGAGACCTACTGCCATTCCACTTAATCAATAGCAACCACTGCCCTCTCCATCAATAATTCACTCATAAGCCCACCGTTGCCAACACCCATTCGACCCCCTACCATAAACCACCTCCAATCGAGGCCTCATCCACCCCTACAATCACCATAAATGTTAATAATGACTACCCTAACTATAAAAGTGAAACCTAAACTCCTTTTCCCAAGACCAATCAAGCAACCAAAGAAAAAACAATGAAATTCCCCAATAAGGAGCCATAATAGAAAAAAAAACCCAAAAACCAAAATCTAAAAAAAATTAAAAAAAATAAATTAAGATTTAGTTTTAGGTCTAAAAGGGTTACTTTTATAAAATCTTTTTTAAGGCTCAAGTAAGGAAATGAAAGGAAAAGAAACACGGTAGGCCACAACGACAAAATGGCATCGTCAACGGCAACGAGGATGGCAGTTAGCAACAACAAGAGAGTTTTTTGGAGATCCAAATGATGGTGATGAAGAGTAAGGAGAGGGAAGCAACATATTATGAGTATAGAAGATTCAGATTACGGCAAGAGTTTTTTTTTTATTCAAAGTTTCAGTTTCAAACTTAGATTTAGGATTTTTGGCATAGTTTTTGAAAAATCTAGTACGATATCAGAGAGAGGACGAAAAGAGGAGTTGGAAGATGAATTTTGAAAGATTATTGACATCGATCACTATTAGTATAAAACGGCCGTAGCCAAAAACTAGGTAAAGGGGTAGCTATTTTGTTTTTCTATTAAGGAGTTTTTTTTAAAGAAAGATTGAAATAAGGTTAAAAAAAAAGTTTGGGTTGTATAACCTTTTAAAAAAATGAAGGCAGCTGACTTGACCCGATGTCGACTCAACCTTTAACCAGCTTAAAATGGCCCACCTTAGATCCATGCTTTAGACCAATTCGAACTTCAGCCTATTCAACCCAATGGTCTTGCTTTAAGGTTTAAATTGGGTTTGGACTAATCTTGTAGGTACGTTTCAATCTCATCTATTTATTTTGTTTCATTGGTTTATTTATCATATATTTATTTATCATAGTAAAAATCTTTTGAAATATTTTTAAATGTTGTAGGTTAAGATTATAATTCTAATTTTACTTTGTATAATTATTATGAAAAACCAATTCCTAACTAGATTTGATTAGTTATCATTCATTGAGTATTTTGGTTGCTTCCTAAATAAAAGGGATTTGGTTCATTGACCAAATTTCTATTTGGTAGTTTCCATTTATTGTTAGAAGATTTTTAGGTGATTTGTTATTATCTTTAGGATATCATGGGATTTGCCAGATTTGATGTTTTAGCTATATGTATCATCTTGTACTCTAGAAAGTTTATTAAAAATTCATAAATAAAATTTTTATGAATTTTTTTTTATATCAAAGCATTCATCTTGAACTATCAAAACTTATATATATATATATATATTTCTTTCTATCTTTCTATCTATGCCATGATCACTTTCTCAAGTAATTGGGATAGGTTAAGTCATTATTTCAAAAGACATAACATTTGACTCTATTCTTCATGTCCCTAATTCAGATTGCAACCTTTTATCTATTAGTAAAATTACAATAGATCTTAATTGTGTTACTAAATTTCTTTCTAATATGTGTGAATTTCAGGGCTTGAATTCAAGAAAAAAGGTTGGAAATGCTAGGATATGTGCTAAACTCTATCTCCTCATAAATGAAGAATCTAATAGACAATTATGGAAGAGTGCTTGTTCAATTTCATCTTCTAGTAAGAGTAAGAAAATACAATCATGTTATGGCGCTATCGTTTAGGATATCCAAATTTCTTAT